CTCGAACCTCGTCCCCATTGGAATCGTGTCCAGGGCCCGAGGGGAGCGGTGATTCTGTCGTTGTTTAGGATTGGTTGGAGGTTGACCTCACATCATCAGCTCAGGACGGACCAAAGGGGAGTGTTTTCTCTGTTGGCCACATGCCCTTGGGATGTCAGGCTGACGCTGCGCGAGGGCATGGGTCGAGCTCAGGCCCGCCAGAGTTTTGATGCTATTCCGGAGGCCAGTGGTGATTAGCAGGTTTGGAGAAGAGCGGTTCGCATTGGAATCTTGGCTCTGAAGGACCCTGTCAGGCAAGGGGCTTTGAGAGCCTTGATTCGTGGCAAATTGTGCCCCCCCGCGCGCAAGCACCAATGTGGTCTCCTGGCTCGCCCCAGATGCGAATTCGGATGCGACGCAGACGGAGGGCACCTTTGGCCACCAGTGGCATGAGTGTCAGAAGGTCTGGGAGCCGAGCGAAGACCCAGACGAGGCTCAGCTCTTCCCAAACGACATACTTGAGCATGTTAAGTGGCTAAAGGACAAGGCGAAAGGTCCCCCCCCCCCCCCCCCCGCCGACTTCGACACTCTTGCGTTGGTGCATGAGGTTCCTTTCCTCCCCCTTCAGTTAGAGCCTGTCCCAGCCACATATGTTTCCCAGGAGTGGGGTGCTACTCGTTTGCCCTGGGGTTTAAAATTTGTCACGGGTGGTTCTTGTTTGGCTAGCGGTCTACCCGAGGCGTGCCGCTGCTGGTGGGCTGTGGCCGCGTGGCCGAGCTGAGTCCTGGGGGACGGCCCATTCGGGCCATCTCCAGGCCCCTTGCTGGGGCCACCCAAACCGTTCCTCGGGCCGAGCGTTTTGCTTTGATGCAGGCCATGCGGTATGACCCGGGAGGCGTTGAATTTGTCAGTGACGCGCGCGAGGCCCAGCGCTGGAACGAACATCTGGCCATGGGATGCAGCAAGCATGCGGGCATGTGGCAATTTGTTTGAAGATTTGTTTGCCCGGTGCGCCTATCCACGAGCGGCCGAGGGTGAGATGGGCGCCCGCTCATGGAGAACTCGACTCCCTTCTCTTCGGCGTGGACCTCGTGAGCCGAGATCGGTCTGTGCCGACGTTGGTGTTTGATTACCTCGGGGATATGGGCTGACCTTCTTTGCGAAGCTAGGTGCGAACCAGCATGAGGTAGCTGGAATTACGGTTCCTTTTCTCGGGACTCACTTTCTCTCTTTTTGTTGTTTCCTGCTCGGGCCGCGTTTTCCTTTCTCGGGCCGCTCAGTTCGTCGCCGCACAGGCTGAAGCCCCTGCCATGTCTTTGGGTCCCGCCGAAACCCGATGGCGAGGCCCTCTCTGTCGATCCTCGATTACGACCTTGGGGTTGTGGAGAACGGGGGCGCGCGTTGTCCTTGGTGTCACAAGTCAGCCACATCTTCCCTCGCGCGTGCTAAGTTAGAGCAGCCAGGGGAGGCATGCGAGCCGTCGCCACTGCAATTGTATCTCTCGGCAGTGAGAGCTGAGCGGCACAATGGTCTCGTTCCTACGGCGCGATGTGCTGCAGTTTCCTCTGCCCTTCAAGAGTTGGGCTTCACGTATGATGGCCTGCGCGCGCAGCCCCTTGGAGCCTTCGAGTTTCGAGGTCACCTTGTCAAGCCTTCGAAAAAGGTGGCTTCTATGCCGACGCTGTGGTGCCCGCGTCTCGATCGAAGCTCTTGTCTGGAGGGGCCTGATCGCCTGGTGCCGCACCCAAGCCGAGCGCGGCTCGGTGCAGTCCTGGCGCATTGTTGCTGCGCCTTCTGGACGCGAGGCACGCTAGGGGGCGACGTGGCTAGCTGGCAGCGGCTGCGGCCACGGTGCTGTCAGCTAGCTGCCGTCGCCCCGTAGTGGTCCTCGGCCTGTGCGCACGTGAGCTGGGCCATCGCGTCGGGAATACAGCCCGTGCCCTCCTCCTGCGTGCCAGGCTTCGTTCGACTCGGATGTTGTGCCTCGGCCTGTTCCCTTTTCTCTTCTCCCTGTTCCTGCGTCTTCTTCCTTCCGCATCCATCCTCCCTGGGGAATCCTCCCTCCTCCGTCCTGTCGACCGTCCTTCTCCTTACGTCGAAGTAATCATGGGTCTTGAAAATGGACAGGAGGCGGAGGTGCAAGACCGCGCGCCTCGCTCGATACATCCAAACGATATGGCACCCTGGGGTGCTGAAACAAGCGCATCGCTTGAGACATCCTCACAATCTGCCCCGAAAGCAAAAGGAGTCTGGGCCAACAGGCGAACCGCTTGTCATCCCCACACCCTGGCCGCGAACGGTTGCGTGAAATAATTCTTGTCGGCTCCCCTCGGGGCAAACCGCTTGAGACATCCCCACAGCCTGGCAGCGAAAGGGCCCATGAAAAACACCCTGGCGGTTCCCCCTTGGGGTGTTGAGAGCAGCAAATCGTATGGGGCATACTCACAATATATTCCACAAGCCAGCAAGTCCAAGTCATCAGCCAGGCACCCCGCATGAGACATCCCAACAATCTGGCCGCGAACGGGCCCGTGAAATACTCCCTGGCGGTCCCCCTTTGGATGCTGAAACCAGCAACTCGCTTGAGACATCCTCACATTCCGTTCCGAACGCAGACAAGGCCAAGCCACCACTCAGGCACATTGCTCGAGACATCCCCACATTAAAGCGCGAACGGGCATATGAAATACCCTCTGGCGGCTATCCCTTGGGGCGGTGAAGCCAGCAAATCGTTTGAGACACTTTCACACTCTGGCCCGAGAGCAGACACGTCCAAGCCACCAAATAGGAACACCGCCTGAGACATCCCCACAATCTGGCCGCGAACAAGGTCCGTGACATACCCCATGGCGGCCCCCCCCATCCAGGCGCTGAAGCGGACAAAATGCCTGAGACATCTTCACACTCCGTATTGAAAAGTGTTCGTTTTTGTTTATTCATTGTTTTGCCGATTAGCGCAAGCCCTCGCACCCCCCCTCCCCCCCCCTATGGAGAAGATTCGGGGTGTTTTTTCCGGCGCTTGTTTCGAGCAGGCGGAGTCTCCCCCCTAGGACGCACTGCTGCAAACAGCCGCACTTAGCAAGGGTCCGGAGCCAGACGCCCCCTGCCCCCCCCCTCCGCCCAACGTCGAAACGCCGAATAAGAAAACGCTCACAAAACGAATACGTAAGTCCACGCCGCCAAACCGCTTCTGAGACTTCCCCACAATCTGGCCGCGAACGGGCCCATGAAACACCCCCTGGCCCTGGCGGCCCCCCTTTGGGGTGCTGAGGCCAGCGAATCCCTGGAGGCATCCTCGCACTCTGGTCCCGAAAACAGACGCCCAGCCACCAAGCAGGCACACCGGCACACCGCCTGAGATCTCCCCACAATTTGGCCGCGAACGGACCCGTGAAATACCCCCCTCACGGCTCCCCCGTAGGGTATTCAAACCAAGTGAGAGTGAGGCTGATTGTGAGTGAGTCTGAGTGTGGGTGGCTCTGAATGTGAGCGAGTCTTGCTTTGAATGAGAAATAAGTCTGAGCACGAGTGAGTCGGAATTCGAGTGAGTTCTGACTGTGAGCAAGGCTGAGCATGAGTGAGTCTGCGCATGAGTGAGCCGAAGTGCAAGTGAGTCTGAGTGCGAGTGAGTCTAAGTCTGAGTGAGGAAGAGGAGTATGTGAGTGAGTCTGAGTGTGAGTGAGTCTGCGCACGAATGAGTCTGAGTATGACTGAGTCTGAGTGCGAGCGAGTCTGAGAATGAGCGACGCTGACTGAGGAAGAGAAGGAATTGGGGGAGGTTGACGTGTGAGGCGTGAGTCGGAGGCGCGTGAATAAGAATTGGAACCCCAATCTTAGGATGGTTGCGGAACAATGCGAAGTGATCGCGAGGCGCTCGAGCATGGTCCAAATTTCGCTCAACATGTGTATCTTGTATTGTCTTCTCTGATGAGGAATGGTGGGGAGGGCTAGCACTGACCCCGATTGGCGGCCCGTCGAGCGGAGAGGCGGCGCATGTTGAGAAGGAGCATAGGCCTCCAATTGGTGGAGAACCCTCGCTCCCTCGCCCCCCTCCTGCCCCTCACCTCCGCCCGCCCCCCACCCACCCCCTCCCCCCTCCCCAAGCTCCCTCCTCCCCCCACTGCGTCTTCAGCGTAGTGCACACCCCCGGCAAGGATGCCCTCTGACATTTCTCCGCGGACCTCCGAGTTCCGAGTTCCCTCCTCCCCCAAGGCAACCGCCCGCGATGAACCAGCCTGGGCCGGCGGAGTGAGCGAAGCGATCAAGTACATGTGCCCTCCAACCCGTGGCGCTTGTAGGTATGGCGGTGGTACCCCCCCAGGGTGGAGGAGGGGCGAGGAAGAATTGGCACGCTGATCCTCTTTCGCCAAGAGGGCTGGTGAGATATGACCTCGGTCGGCTTCCGCTCCGTGTCCAGCAGCAGGCGCAGTAATGGGTGCCAGACGGCAACAATCACGCGTGAGTGAAAAGAATGTGGAGTCGCGTCGCCACGCACATCCACAACTACGCCGCGCTGGGTGTCAGGGGTGAGAGGAGGGAGGATGAAAAACGGAGGAAGACGAGGATCGAGGATGGAGGAAGAAGAGGAGGGTGGATGGAGACTGGAAGGGGGAGAACGAGGAAAGGGTGGAGGATGGCGGAAAGAACGCAGTAGGAAGGAGTCATAACAACCCCCCAGAACCTAGAAGCCACCCAGGCCCCCCCGCCCTCCTTCCCCGAAAACCCTCTAACCGCTCCCCCCATCGCCTTTCCCTCCTCCTCGTCCTGCTCCTCCTCCTCCTCCTCATCCTCCTCCTCCTGGGAAGATGAGGAGGATGACCAGGAGGTCCAGCGAGAGAGAGGAGAGGGCGGAGGAGAAGGCGCAAGGAGGACGTCGGAGTAGGACGAGGCAGGAGCACGCAGGATTATGGCGAGGCTGCAGGCTGTGGACGAGGCTGCGGACCGAGGGTGCCATCGAAGGCCGGCACTCCTCCCGTCGGTGACGCGCCGCCGCCGCTGAGGGCGGCGGCCACCCGCCGCAGGAGCTGCGTGGCCACGACTGCAGCGTCCTCATCCACTGCTCCGACGGCTGGGACCGCACCGCCCAGGTGTCGGCGCCGTCGCTCGGCGGCGCCCGATCGGACCAGGCCGGACCGGACCAGACCGACGACGGCACCGGCGACGGCGGTGGCGGCGACGACAACCACGGCGACGACGGCGGCGGCGACGGCAGCAACGAGGACGAGGAGGGGGGCAGGAGGAGCGATGGAGGAGGAGGAGGGGGAGGAGGAGGAGGATGAGGAGGAGGAGGAGGAGGAGGAGGAATCAGAGGGGCGTCTCAGGGGCTCGGAGCTGGTGCTATGGGGGTTACAGGGGGGCTCTAGGGGGCTGCTGGGATGGGCAGGAGGGACTTGGACAACGGGGAGGAGGAAGAGGAGGAGTAGGAGGAGGAAGACGAGGACGAGGAAGAGGACGAGGTGGAGGAAGAGACGGAGGAGGAGGGGGAGGACGAGGAAGGGGAAGAGGAGAAGGAGGATGAGGAGGAGTAGGAGGAGAAGGAGGACGACGATCGTTTTTAAACAGTCGTGTAGCCCACCGAGGCGACAACCGCTCTCGTGCTCTAATCTGGCAAGACCACTGAGACTGGTGCCCACTGTTGCGATGTCTTTCCGCGCACTCGGGCGAGCACAACGTCGGCGGTGAGCGAGGGGGGGAATTGTGAAGGAGATGGCCTGCTCAGAAGGCTCGGAAGTCCTCCAGGCTTCTGAGAAGGTTTCTAAGCTTTCCTCGAAGACGCAGACTCACTTCCCCCCTCGCTCGCCGCCGACAGACAGTTGTAAGCGGGAATTGGTGGTGCATGCGATGACTCTAATTATTATTGCGATTGCCAGGTTTCGATCATGATGGATGCTGGCTTAGATCTTGTCATTGCAGCGATGCCCGTGATGAGAAAGCTGCGCTCAGGAGGCTTCAGACCCTGGAGGGTTCCGTATCTGATGAGGGCGGCGGTGATATCCATGGAGTCACGGCCGGTTCCCAGGGGGAATGAAGCACGCGAGTTTATGAATCAGTGAGCGGTCGGGAATGTGGCCTCGAGACGGTCGCGGTTGGAAACCCGAGTCTGTCTCGGGGCCCGTTGGGTGCCACGTTGGGCCTTCTTGGGGCCCCCTGGGCATTCTTGAGCCATCTGGGCGCGTTTGCAAGGAATGCGGTCAACAACTTTTGGTCAGCGTGTCGCTCCTCCGGTTACGCTTCGGCGCGACGCGCTATCCTCGGTCCGGTCACGTCCCGAGCCGTTCCCAGCCTCTCGCCCCGCGGAGCGGAGCGACACGCTATCAGCTCCCAAGGCATAGCGTGTCGCCGGGGCCATCGCCACGACACGCTGTGCAAGAGTTCCCGCCCGTGTCAGGGCCGTCCTGGAAAGTGTTTGGACCGTTGGGATTGGTCTTGGGGCAGTCCAGGGGTGTTCTTGGGCCCAGAGGTCCGTCAAGGAGTGAGTTCACGCCCCCCCTCCCCCCAAATTGGATTTTGGACTTCCTGGGAGGAGGAACAGGGAAAGGGGGAAAGCCAAATACTTCACACACGCACGCACGCACGCACGCACACCCACACACACACACACACACACACACCCGGCAAACCGGCGTCGGCGGGTTCAAAGAACATGTCGATTGCGTTGCAGCCGCTTTGATTCATGAGGTGCAGAGCTGGAAATACACACCAGGCGTTTCAGATCCAGCGCACGCACCACGACCAGACCGTGCGACGGCGAGAAGCAATTCCGATCGTGATATTGTGACTGTTGTTGAGGTAGTGGTTTTCTGTAGATTTGCACCCAGGATCGATATGATGCAGTCAGGGATGCAGGCGATTGGCATGATAGTGTAACATTTCCTGCGCTCTTCCTCGACATGTTGTGGCCCTCCTGGTCCGCTCTCTGCAGTTCACACGTCGTGTCCGATCTGATCGGGGTACCGCCCGTAGTTCGCGCAGATTGGTCTCTTGAATGACCAAGGCCATGGCGATGTTGTGCATGGACGGGAACTACCGCACGGCGCACCCCTTTGCTTGGTTCATGTTTGGGTCATGTGTTGCAGATTCAGAGATCAGTCCCCACCCCTCTCGCAGAATAGAAGCTACAGGTGGAGGCACCGGCAATATTCTCCCTCCTCTGGCGCCATCACCATACCCACGCGGGGCGGCAGTTGCGATTGGGGGAGCGCTCTTGGAAGCAATGCCTTCACCAGGGCACAGACTTCGAAGATGCGTGCATGTCTTAGCTGTCCGGACAGCGCTTGCACTAGCAAGTCCTTACGACAGTGCAACTAGCTTCGGTCTCAGAACAAGACAGCAATAGGCCTGACTGCAGTAGGTCTACGATAGGCCTGACAGCGATCGAGCTCCTCAGTGCGGTTCTCGCAACAACAGGTCCCACTGCACAACAGCCGCCGGTGTTGTCTAATGCAGTCCTGGGCAATCGGGTGGGATCCCCTGGTGGTCGCCCTGTGGCTGCCCGCCGCCGGCGTGCTGGCGAGCGAGTATGAAGAGGACGGAATGACCTTACAAGGGAATACGAGGGTCGCGTCGTGTCGACGTGGCGGCGACCCCAGCGTGGGCGGTCAGGGTCGAACGCCGACGCTTGTTCAGAGTCGGCCGCTCCCGAACAATCGGAAAGCCGCGATCGTCTCTGGCCGAACGCTCCATGCCGTGTTAGAAGGCTGCGCGCAAAAGGGCACGACACGCACTTGCCCTACCCTTGCATCCTCTCCCCTCCGGCCCACCCTCGGACATGCATGTACTCGGCAGCGCGCGGGGGGGAAGCGAGAGGGGACAAGCCTCCTTCACACCGCATCGTTGCCTTGAACTGGCGACTGCCGCCCCAGTTCCGAAGCCTCGTCCACCAGATCCTCCCGGGCGGCGCCCGGAGGCGGGCTGGGCGATGGTCGGGGGACGGACCGCGTGGTGACCTCGATTTCCCCAGGGACTTCACCGCGCGATCCATCACCACACGGTGCTTGGACCTTGCAAGCTCTGGTCGCGCGGACTCAAACGGGCAGGCCGGGCGGGCGGGCCCTGACGAGCGGCCTGGGCAGGCGAGACGTTGATGCGCGATGTTTGAGTTGATCGTGCGGAAGTCCAGGGCGAGAATCTGGGTCCAGGTCAGACTGGAGGAAGGTCTCGGCGGAAATGCGAGCAGCACAATTCGCTCTGATGAAAGCAGGGTGCCAAGGCCGAGTGGAGCATTCAAAATGGGCACCAGGCAGGGGGCATCAACACGAATTATCATGCAGGCGTGATCTATCAACAACAGCACCATCATCATCAGGAGGGAACGGCACCTTTCTGGTCTGGGCCATTGTCTGAGAGGGTCGAGGGCTTCAGAGAGGCAGGTTGCCCTCTGAGAAGGCCGCTCTCACCCTCGATCGCCCCACCTCTCTTCCTTGGCGCCGCCGGCCTGCTCTTCAAACATCTGCCCGTTTTGCTTGTCCAGGGGTGCGTTTTGGCCAGCATCGTGGACGTCTGCGTGCCTGGCGTGCCGCCAGCAGCCCATCCAGAAGCGATGCCTCAAACATCTGCCTTTCCTACCTTTCCAGGGACGCGTTTCGGCCTGGATTAATGATTGCGGACGTCTCGCGTGCACGGCGTGCCGCCACTAGGCCATCAAGAAGCGATGCGCAGGCGAGCCGCCTTGATTGGTTAAGAGGAGCAAGCCGTGGATCAAAGAGGGGGGCAGCGGCCAGGATCATCCTGAGCAGACCCATGAGTGAACCGTATCGTATGCTTTGCGGGTCGTTCGAAGGAGGATGGGGAGGAGGAGGAGGAGGAGGAGGAGGAGGAGGACCAGTGCAAACCCAACAGCCATCAACGATGTTGGAATGAACTCTCCCTCCAAGCTCCTTCTTCATAGTCCTCTACAGCGGTTCATTTATATAGGGGGAACTGCCTCGTTGAAAGACAACCGTTTGAATACCGTCAAACATGCCAAAACATTGTTCTCGGGATTTCCACGCCACGGATCAACCTGATTGCTGCGTCCTGAAAATCTGGAGTCGTGCCTGAACGCAATGGTTGGGACTTCACTACCGCGAATCAACATACGGTGGGGACGTTCGTTAAGGAATGTGCCCAGGAGGCTGCAGGCCCTGGAAAAGTCATTGTCTGATGAGGGCGGCGGTGGTATCCATGGCCGATCCATTATTGGAGTTCCACACGCTTCCAGACCGTGGATTCCTTGTCCAATGGTTCCTTATCCAGTGCCCACAGCGTACTTTTTGCGCCGGCATAATCCTGAATCCTTCCAAATGACCATCTGTGGACGTTGACCATGGGAATCAGTGATACTCCCGCAAATATTGAAAACGAATGTGCGTGGCGCTTATACGAGAGCCACATTTTGAAACCTAACCGCTCTCAATCCGTGAAGCTCTGATAAGCTGTTGAAGCGGATGTGCTCGGCGCCAAGGCGAGCGCTACATTTTGAAAAGGAGCCGCCCTCAATCCGTGAAAATTCGGCTGATTTTCAAAACGAGTGTTCGGGGCGCGAAGGCGAGAACCACATTTTCAAAACGACCCTCCCTCCATCTGTGAAGCTGTTGTCATTGTTTAAACTTCGGAATGCTCGATGGTAAGGAAGTCTAAGGCGAAACGCCCGGCCCGCTTTAAAAACTTGCCTCGGGGTGCGACATGGGGAAATTATTTGTCAGGAGAATGAATGGAGGTGGAGGCGGAGGGGATGGTGGGTGGAGGGGGGGAGGAGGAACTGAATGAAAAGCAGTCAAGGCAAGACAAGGAACTGGATAGGACAGGAAACGACGACGACGACAGGATTTCGCGGACACTTCGCCCTCCGAGCCTCTTTGAGCCATCTTGAGGCTTTACTGGGGTACGCATGGAAGTTTGCAAAGCCTTTTTGGGGTTAGTTTGGGGGCCATGGGGGCCCTCTTGGAGGCATCCTGGAGGCCATCGATGAAATTATCCAGGCGAAGGACCCAACCATATGCAAACGTGAATACCGCAGGGCAGGTGGGACGAAGCAAGAGGAATTCTCTATGGGGCCACGATCCTGGTGAGGGGTGTGCCGAAATGAGGCGGGGCCGCCATGCGAACGCTGCCACTGGGGCCTTCGGTGGAGCTCCCTATGGGGCCACGATCTTCGTGAGGGGTGCGCCAAAATGGGGCGGGGCCACCATGCGAACGCTGCCACTGGGGCCTTCGGTGGAGCTCCCTGTGGGGCCGCGAACCGTGTGAGGGGCGTGCCGAAATGAGACGGGGCCGCCATGCGAACGCTGCCACTGGGGCCTTCGGTGGAGCTCCCTATGGGGCCACGATCGTCGTGAGGAGTGTGCCGAAATGGGGCGGGGCCACCATGCGAACGCTGCCATTGGGGCCTTCGGTGGAGCTCCCTGTGGGGCCGCGATCCTTGTGAGGGGTGTGCCGAAATGGGGCGGGGCCGCCATGCGAACGCTGCCACTGGGGCCTTCGGTGGAGCTCCCGATGGGGCCACGATCGTCGTGAGGGGTGCGCCAAAATGGGGCGGGGCCGCCATGCGAACGCTGCCACTGTGGCCTTTGGTGGAGCTCCCTATAAGGTCACGATCTTCGTGAGGGGTGCGCCAAAATGGCGCGGGGCCACCATGCGAACGCTGCCACTGTGGCCTTCGGTGGAGCTCCCTATGGGGCCACGATCCTCGTGAGGGGTGCGCCAAATGGCGCGGGGCCACCATGCGAACGCTGCCATTGGGGCCTTCGGTGGAGCTCCCTATAAGGTCACGATCCTTGTGAGGGGTGCGCCGAAATGAGGCGGGACCGCCATGCGAACGCTGCCACTGGGACCTTCGGTGGAGCTCCCTATGGGGCCACGATCTTCGTGAGGGGTGCGCCAAAATGGGGCGGGGCCACCATGCGAACGCTGCCACTGGGACCTTCGGTGGAGCCCCCTATGAGGCCACGATCCTCGTGAGGGGTGTGCCGAAATGGGCGGGGCCGCCATGCGAACGCTGCCACTGGGGCCTTCGGTGGAGCTCCCTATGGGGCCACGATCGTCGTGAGGAGTGTGCCGAAATGGGGCGGGGCCGCCATGCGAACGCTGCCTCTGGGGCCTTCGGTGGAGCTCCCTATGGGGCCACGAAACGCTGTACTGGGTGGGTGAAACGCAGGGAGAAAGGGGGGAGGAGGGGGAAGAGGAGAGGAGAGGAGGAGAAGGAACGCGGGGCGACGTCTCTTCAAAACGAGGACCCAACAACACAGGATGGCTGGGAAAGATGCGGCTTCCTAAATGACAGCATCCTGCTGGAGGCCAACAAGTCGCCTCTTAGAGCCTCTGGGAGGCATGCTCTTGGGGCGCTCTTGCGGCTGTCGTCAAGCCCTTTTTGGGCCCATCTGGGGGTTCCTGGCGATTTCGGAACCATCTTGAGACGTCAAAAACCGATCGGAAACGAGGGGAGCGACGGGGTGGACATGGTCAAAACCATCAAAGATCGTTGCGTGCATCCGTTCGCGTCCGATCAGCGTTCCCGATGAGAGAGAAATCCCAAACGGGAGTGCCCAATTAGCGCGCCCGGCCAGCGCACCCACCCCCAGGTCGAGATTCAGTTGCAGCCACGCGCGCGCATTGATCGAACGAGACTGTCTGGGCACCCTTAACTGTGGTTTCAATGGTGGTGGCCTATCTGGGGCCTTTTTGGTGGTTTCCGAAGTCTCCGAGCCCGTGTGGTGCTGTCATTCGGTCGGCCTTTCGGAGGCACGTTGGAGGCCAACTCGGACCACCTTGCGCCATCGTAGAGGCCACCTTAATGAATGCAGATTGGGCCATGTTGGGGCCATCTTGCCCCAAAAGGCTCCAAGGATGCCCCCAGGAGATCGTAAACTTCAGCTCTTCAATCAGATTGTTCATGAGAAGCGGGGCCTCAATAAAAGAGGGTCCCCCATCGGAGTCCGAAGGAACGCCCCGTCAAGCCCTCTTTGGACGCTCTTGGGGCTCTGGTGGGGCCGTCGCGGAGACTTTCGAGAACCTTATTGCGGCTCGTTCGGGCGATCTCGGTGCCACCTTGTGGCT